ACAGTCGTAATTTTTGTCCCTCGTACTGAATCTGGTTCTGCCTGCTCCAGCGCAATACCTTCTCCTTGTCTTGGTATCGGTGAAAGCAAACGATGAAGGGTCTGGGTGCTCTCCCGGTGGTATATCCCGTACGGTGTGCTCGTTCCAGTTGAGGTGGTGAAGGGAAGACTTCTGGTCCCACGGCGTCTCTTAGCAGTTCGGAAATAAAGACGGTGTTGTATTTACCGTGCTCACTTTTTTCCGGTATGTTGAGTATACGTAGATTTACTCTTCGTGATCGGTTTTCCAGATCCTCTATCCTATCAAGAAGCATCTGATTTTGCTTCTCCGGGGTTTGAATCTTTGTTTCAGCCGCTGTAATCTTTTCAAAGTTTTCCCCAACAAGGACCTCTATTTGAGTGAGGCGTGTTTGGAACGCACCAACCTTTTCATGTAGGGAGTCCACAGACACCTGGATAGGTTTAACAGAGTCCTGTATCAGTATGGCCATTGTGTCTTGGTGTTTCGCTAGTACAGCCATTAGTGTTGACATGGAGAAATTCCTGTTCATTAGCGTTAGAGCCGTGATCTGCATCTGTTGTCGGCATGTTAGCTGCCGCGGCTGCTCTTGCTGTAGTAGCTGCTCTCGTTAAGGTAGCGCCTGAGTTTTTTTGTTTTATGTAGCTCATAGCGTCCTTCAGTTTGCGAAAAGGCACATCAGTATGTATTTGTAAGTTATCTTCAATAGTTTAAGAGAGTTTCACACGAGGTTCATAGCGTGTCACCTACATCACGTCGGAAGCGGAAATCCGTAGTGAGCTTTTCATAATTTTCAGAGGCCAGAAACTGAGTTTTGCTTTCACAGTAATGCTGACAACAACTAGCATGCTAACACACATGGATTACAATTCATGTCTGGCTGCAGATGCTGGGGTTTAGGTGGAGACCGTTCAGATCAGAGAGTATTTTAGATTTAAACCAACTGAATTTCAGCATCAAAACTGATCAACTAAATGAGAGACTTGTGAGGTTCATTCTGATTTCTGATTAGATAATTAGCTTCAGAACCAAAACACCAAATTATAACAAAAATAAATGGAACATCATGTCATGTTTTGTAATTATGAATAAATCAGCATTAGAATTATTACCAGTAAAAGTTATATTTTGAGCATGTTTACCTCGTATCTAGGGACACAGATCATGTTTATGGAATTTAAAATCAGCATGGCACACCTTAAACAAAAAAAACATCTAAAAGTAAAGAAGAGGAGTCAGTCATAAATCTATATAATAAAATAATATTATCTCCAATAAGCTATTCATAATTTAGTGAGAGCAAAGGAGGCCATTAAAACTATTCAGCAACTGTGTAAATGATATGGGCCATAATCCTGTCTTAAGCTCTTAATGGTTTGTAACACTCATCTCACTGTTCCATTTTAGTATTGATCTTTGAACCCTGAGTTTAACCGTCTATTTCGGGCCTATTAGAAATACCCCTGTTAACGTAATACTATCAGGTTCATTAGGGTGACCCAAAAAAACTTTTTTCTTTTTTCTTCTAATTTGAACCATGCATTTTGGCCTACTACCAGTTAAAGTTAACACATAAAAATTTGAGCTACATTAAATGACATTTAGAGGTTGCACAACACCATAGAAAAATCACCTTTTTATCTCTCTTTATTAGCCAAATAGTATAAATCAGCAGAAATATCAATTTTCAAAGTATTTATTCCTTATATGCTATAGGTTTAATATATATATTTATATAATATATATGCATAAAGCACATGTTGTAACATAATATAATGAAACTTATATAAAAAATTATCATTTGATGAAAATGACAAACCGATAACCAAGTCAGTTCAAACTGCCTGCTCACTTGAAGAAGTGGCAAGACCTTTGATAACTGTGTCTTTCTTTGAGTCAGGGTAGCTTTTTCTGTGATTTTGAACCAGCTGTAGTAGGAATTGTTTCTGTTCTTCTGATTTGGTTAATATAGCATTGAAGTCCTGGATCAACTTCACTCCCCGTTCTGCTGTGTCGTTCACAACTTTCAGGGATCGGACTACCTTCTCTGCATAAGTGAACTCCTCATTTTCCTTCCATGTTTCAGGTGGCATTTGCAGAAATGACTGTGGCAGACCAAGAATAGTAAAGAATGCATTTGTATTCTTTGTCACAAAATTGCTGAGGGTCTTCTATTCATAGCTTCCATTTGCATCAAGACGGTGGGGAACATGGGGTGATCCCTCTCTTTCTTGCATGTCCCTAACTATCTGTACCTTTTGATGTGTGTTGACATTGTGATCAAAGAAAGCAAGCCCCATCATGACTTCACTCAAGTACCAAAGGTGTCGCTTGAATGCAGTCAGTCCTGCTTCCTTAAAGGTTGTATGGAGGATTTTTTTTTGTTTCAAATTGTCAATGATAGCATCATAGAGGTGCAGTAGCCTTGTAATTATGATGACCAAAAAAAGAGAATAAAAATTCATCAACTCTGGACGTGGTGGGGCCAGCTAAACATTTGCCAATAGATAACGACACTGCCTCGTTATCTGTTAGCTGACAGGCTGTCAATCAATCTCCCTACGTTTCTAGCGTAACTGACTTGCCTGCGCGCCGCTGGTACGTGGTTTACGTACGCCTGTCACGCAGTCCACAGACGCAAGCCGCACAGACGCTGTTTACTCCACCAACGCAACAGTTCTTAGCGGCTTTTTTTTACCTATATCTTCCTCGCAGTTAGCACAAAGTTTGTTGCAATGGCAGACAAGAATCCAGGAGCAGTTAGCCGCAAAAGAAAGTCCGTTTTTTGAGGTCGCTGAAAGAAGAAGACAAGGGGAAAAGCAGCGAAGCCAAACTAAGGTGATTCTTGAAGATTCATTCCAGCGATGGCGCGACTGAAGCAGACGCAGGGTCTAAAGACTGACGCATTGGTCGCCAAATTACTCCTGGACAGGTCACTTCTGCTTATTATGAAAACGTACTTTATTTCCAAGAGCTAGTCAAACGTTTTTCAGGACACGAAAGCGATATCCTATGTCTGAAAACGTAATTTTCAAGGCAAAGAAAGAGTCCGCTTGCTGCTGCGTGTTGTAGCTAGTTCATTTGCACGGAATCTCCGCGCAACCTTTTCTGCACCCCTTTCCTGCTCCTGTCCCCGCTGCCCGTTCCGCTCTTCCCCCTGCTCCTCACTTCTCCGGGCACGGAATCTCCGCGCACCGCTCCCCTCTCCTCTCTCCTCTCCTCTCTCCCTGCTCCGCTCTTCTCCCTGCTCCTCACTTCTCGTCCGCGAACGAAATGTCCGCACACCCACTCCCCCGCTCCTCACTTCTCCGCCTTGCCTAACCAACACTGTAGTTAGTTGTTTACAAGTCATGTGCAGCGCACCGGCTGTAAACAAACCTGTTTCTGGCGTAAAGAGGAGGCGGGAGGAGGCGTTTCTACGTAGGGAGCTGTAGGGGAGGGGGGGTGGTTTCACGCATGTGCAACATTTGAAAAAGGACAAACAGTCGCTGGATTTCTCGTTCCTTGGAAAATCCTCTATACAACCTTTAACAATTTGATTACTGTATGTATATAGAGCCTGCATGAATTGCAAGTCATTTGATGGTGCTTCAGCGGCCATGGGTGCTGTAAACCAAGCACGGATGTAAACTTGGGTCACAAACAACAGGAAGTGGAAGACCCCACGTTCTTCACATACTCTTAGTTTAAATTGTTTCCTGAACAGCCAGATTTTGTAACAGTAAAGAACTTTTGCCATCCAGCGTGCTCTATGTACTGTACCAGGGGCCTGAATATGCACTCCTCTTGCTGGAGATCCACCAAGAAAGATAACAGCAAGCTCTAAGAATTCTTTGTAGTCATCTCTTTGCTGTTTTTTTTCAAGATGTTCCTTTGCAAACAGCAATATCTCATCTTTGAAAGGGGTTACATCTGGCATTTCAGCAGCTGTAGAGAATGAGGCAGTGTCAAGTGAAGACCACTTCTCTTTAAAATGTTTAAATATGGCAATATCTGGTCCAGAAGAGGTTGTTATATGCAGTGCATGAAAAACTTTGTCCAGGACAATTTCCAAGATATGGTGGCGGCATGCAAAGTGTAGAAGATTTCGTCCAATAGCCCTTTCGATGAGGATGCAAGCACCATTGAAACGGCCTGTGTTGCTTGCTGTTGTGCCAAAGCAGAGACCTTTGACATATCTGGAAATATTCCAGTCATCCAAAGAGGCTACTACAGCAGCAAAATAATCCACTAAATTTAGTACAAACTTTAAAAAAAATCAGTGTTTAATTAATATTAGCACTGTTCATATTAAATTTGACAAACTATTGCATAGGTTTTGTATATAGAAAACAGAAATTTACTTACCAACACTATCAGCAATGTTAAGATGACAAATCTTTCCTCATAGCCTTTTTCTAAAGTTTGTCTTCAGCAGTCATGCTATACAGTATACATGACTGTAAACTGATTGTGAGTGTTGATCTCATATGACAACTATTCTGTCTCTGCTAAATTGGTATGACTGTTGCAGAGATTATTGCTTATTGAAAGAATATAATGGATTATTTAATGAAAAGTGGCAAAATGTAGAGTATGTAATCCTGCCAGCTCATCAGACACAAAGCAGTGTGACAAACAGACACACTTTTGTTATTTGAGAGAGAATTCTTGAAACTTAAAAAGGCTTGTGCAACCTCTAAATCATGTTGGATTTCACTGAAATTTTAACCCTGTTGCTTTTGTATTTATGGTCAATGTTTGCTGGGTTCAAATCGAGAAATTTAAAACTTTTATTTTTTTACATATTTTTCTGGACCACCCTAAGGTTCATGTATCAGTTGTCATGAGTTTCCTTTTGGCTGCTCGCTGGGAAGAACAGAATAGTTATTGTGATTGACATGTAAAGGATGACAACAACTCCTTTTTAATTTGTTACAATACTGAGTATCTTGGCAGTCACTGAGCAGTTAAAACAGTTGTTGTGATGTGATTTTTGGCAGGTTTACAGGACAGCTCACAGCCAATGACCCACTCCAGACCCTCTTCCAGCTGCTGTCCGGGAGGGTCCCTGCTGTGGCCACGGTAAGGAAACACCAATCATGCACTTAGTTTGCCTAGGACCCAGAATGCACACTTATTATTCAAGAATAAAGATGTGAGTCCGGTCAGCGATTAATCTTCACCTAGTGCCTCCGCTCAATTTCATTTCTCTCCAGCAACTAGGTCAGGAATCAAAATACAATAGATGGTTCGCAAAAACCCCAGAAGTGCAAGTTCGGGCACCAGCCAATCAGCAAAGAGCCATACATTCTGTGTTGGCAACCATTCCTGAGATCGAGGATTTGAAGCTAGAATAAAGAGAATGTTTGATGAATTTTATCAAGGGGAAAGACATTATTGTCCTTCTTCCTACAGGATTTGAGAAAAGCTTAATATACCAGTTAGTCCCATTAGCAGCGCATTACATACATCACGACCAAATTGTAGCGATTGGTTAAATGAAAAAAGTACCCGCCTACTGTCGAGGGAACGAATTCTAACACTGCAAAGTCAGACGGTTTCCATGAAGTGAAACCGGCTGATGAATCAGGCTACACACATGGTCCTTCTGTATCAAAATAAATATTGCTGCTGATGAGGAAAAAATATCACAAGGGAACTCATTAACTGTGTGTCGCTTCTCTGTGTCCTGCATTAACTCTCTTAATGAGGTGAGAAAAAACTTATCTATAAATGTCCGGTGACAAATGAGCTCATTTGTTTCACACACACAACTGAAAAATCTAATCTGATTGCACAATCATGTTTGGTTCTGGCTCGAGGCTGTATAAAAAATACACAGACATATGAGTATGGATTTTCTAGGGCAGCACCTAGGAGAAGATGACTCTGCTTTAAGTTTGGATAGAGCTAATGAGAGATACAAATATAGAGAGAGTTTATTAATAAATTATGATAAGGTTGAACATTTGTGTATCGTAAATTTGGGCACTAATTTGTAGTGTCACAATCAAGACCTCACACTCACTTAGTCCACTTCTTTATACCCTAAAATATTGTACATAAATGTCTCTCAACATTGTCTCTGATCTATCGTGTGTTTGATCCAGTGCTGTGGCAGTGAGCGGTGGGGCGACTGGAGGCCTCACCTGGCTGTGATCCTCTCCAATGACACCTCTGATTCTGCTGTCAAACAAAGGGCCATCGCCACCATGGGAGACACTCTGGGTATATCCTCTGCTCATTTTTATGTGCCATCCATGTAATGTACTATTTACTATTTACAACTTTTACCTAAGTAACTATTTGGGAGAGTTGATTTTACTACTTAAATTATATAGTGCTACCACTAATGGTACTCTTAATTCATTTTTGGCTATACTGATAGTTATTGATTAGATTATTATTATTAATGTGTGGCCATACCAGCTTGTCAGAGCCTGATCTCATCAGATCTCAGAAGCTAAGCAAGGCCGGGCCTGGTTAGTACTTGGATGGGAGACCTCTGGGAAAACCAGGTGCCACAATTGTGTTCTTAGGCAAGACACTTCACCCACATTACCTAGTAAGAAAGTAGAGTATGTGTGAGTGATGGTGGTCGTCGGAGGGGCCAATGGCACAGATTGGCAGCCTCGCTTCTGTCACTCTGCCCCAGGGCAGCTTTGGCTACAATAGTATCTTACCATCACCAAGTGTGGAGTGAATGAACACTGCTCTGTAAAGTACTTTGGGTATCTTGAAAGGCGTTATATAAATGCAACGATTAATTAAGTATCCTTGTGTCCTTGCAGCCTCCAGAGGACTCTTACACTCAGCTCATGTGTGCTATCTGACCGCCGGCCTGCCCTTTGGAGCCTTCACTCAGAAGGACGACAGGCTGGTGCTTCTAGGAAGCAGTCACAGGTGGGACCATTCTCCAGATATGAATAATTTTTATGCCAGTTAACTTTTTTTCATATTTTTTCATATTTTGTTTTTATTATATAATACTTATCTGCCTAATTTTGTAGGCAGTCATTTAAGGACTTTGCCACAAACTCTGCCATCCAGTGCACTGAACTGTACGAGTACTGCCTAAATCTTGGAGGGAAATACTTTTCCATACCATCTTTTCAGGTACAAATATGCCTTCTAAAAAATTCTATCCAAAATATAAAAAGTAACACAGGAAAATTATGGAATAACTTAATTTTTGGTCCATGTTCAGGTGTATAAGTTCCTGTATGCGACTCGGTTGTTGGACTGTGGCCTTTCCTCTCAGGCCTTTCATTACTGTGAGGTAGTGGGACAGGCCATCCTCCGGCAGAACGTCCCCATGTTTGTGCTCACTGATCTAATTCTGAAGGTACAATGAACACCTTAAAAACAGCTGCTGTATGATTTAAGTTGAATTGTGTATTTTACTGACTCACTGACAATTGCAAAAAAAAAAAAAAATGTCTGTTGAATAATTTTTTTTTTTTTTTTCAAATGATCAAACATGTTCTAAAATGTAAGCATTTGCCCTTTGTTTTGTGAGTGATCATGTAGGCATATTTCTGAATGTTGAGGTGCTTTGTTTTTTAGGTGTCAGACAGGCTCAGACATTCGGAGGTGAGTGAAGTGGGACTGAGTGGAGCCGACCAGGAGCCAGGATGGATGACACAACTGCGCTTAAGGCATCAGCGCTTACAGGTAAACAAGGGGAGCCTATTTCAGTCAAGATCTGTATGCGTATTATTATAGAAGAGGGTTATCTTGAACACTAATGGTTTCTTTGTTGTTGTTTCCAGTCAGGCAGTTACAGCTTCAGTGAAATCAGTCAGGAGGCGTCAGAAAGTACAGGTAAGTCTCACAGCCATGTGTAATGATCAATTTCTTATGGAACAGTATATTATGTCATATTCAGGCTGTGCAATTGATTGAAATTTTAATACATCAAGATTCATTTCCATTTCATGATATGCCAAAGTCCATGGGCAGATTTGGAGTTTAGATTGTGGAGAAATAAAAAAAAATCTTAAATGGCAATGATTAAACTCTGTATTGATTCTGTTAAGTAAAATAAATATTTAATTTCCATATAAACTGAACATAAAATCAAAATTTGTAAAAATGACTGATGATGATTTATATTTCTGTCATATCATCCAGCCCAATACCATATTATCCTTACCATGACTTCTTTTTTTTTTTTTTTTTTTTTTTTCTCATGTTGACTGACCAAAAAATGATGGCACAATTCTACTTTTTTCTACTCAACAATACAACTGTACAGTACAATAGTCTGGTCCTGATCCAGGCTACAGCACATGTTAGAGTCTGTGCCAGTCTGAAATGACGTGACTGATTCCCTGGAGGTCACTGAATGTTTCTCCCCACTCTTCGCCCTCATCCTTCACACCAAGTCTAAAGTCTGCTATTGGTCACAGTATGTTTGTATCAACACAGGAGACTACAGCCCTGTGCAGAGCCCAGAGCCTGAGCTGCTTTACTACAGAGACACTGAGGAAATCTCTGGGAATGACGTCTTAGATGGAAACCAACCGTTCGCCCCAGCAGACTGCAGTGGAGTTCAAGAATGGTACAACAAATCTGCAGTGTATAGTAATGCCTCTTAGAATGGGGCTTTTAAGATTTTCAATATTTTTACTGTAGCTTTAATGTGTCTTTTCATCTCCAGGCCACAGAATCCGCTCACAATTCCACCTCCTATGACCTACGCTCCTCCAGGTCAAAGTGCAGCAGTGGGTCAAGACTTCACTTATTATAACACAAATACTGGAGTGTTACATTCTCCTGGCTCCAGTCCTCCAGGTCAGTCTTTCATAATGTCCAATAAGTGCAAAGAGAGACTGATCCTCCCAAATGAATTTCTCCAATATCTACTTTGTTATTACAGAATCTGTGACACGTTCTAGATCAAGCACAGTAAGCATTTCCTTGCAACATTTTGTCATTTTTTATGTTTTTTATAAATCCTGTTTGCTGCCATTTGTTCATTCAGCTATTTAGAGATAGTTTAGCAAGTATAATTCATTCTAACTCTATATTACATAAAGCTGACTCATATGAGCTTTAAGCCATGTTATAATGTTTCCTCATCAAAAACACATCTGTAGCTGTGTTTTGTTTCATTTTGTTTGAGTAATTCTTTATTATTAGTCTGTCTACATCTTCAAAGCTCCAAATGCTCTGTTCCACCTTGTGATATCATGTAATGTTAGTTTTTCAAGGTAACAGCTGCCTTATACCTTACAGAGTTTGGTAATTCCATTGCAGTAATTATACATATGATTTTAGTGAAGGTGTATGGCAGGGGTGTCCAAACTTTCATCAAGGGCCACATATCTAAACACAGACGAGGCAGAGGGCTGATCGAGGGCCATAGACTGGTGTTCAGTACAGTGAATAATTGAAATATGTGCATGTTTAACACGTTAGAATGAGCCATCAGTCTTTATCCATGCTATGATCCTTAAAACCACACACTAGATATTAAATATCAGCTTCATCAAGATTGCTGTAAACTTGCAGTAAAAAGTTCATTTTTAATTGATGCAAGGTAATTTGGGCCAACTCACCTGGAAGCCTGAGGGCCAAGAAAAAGTTATCTGAGGACCGCATTTGGCCCATAGCCATAGTTTGGACATGCCTGGTGTATGGAGTATAAAAACACACTGGAGTACTTCCTGTATTACCACATGACATCACAAGGTGGAACAGAGTGTTTTCTGTTAGAGAGAAGAACTCCTAAACTCCTAATCGTAAATATGCAGGTTTGTGTGTGAATGAAACAAAACACAACTCCACGTGTGTCTGTGATGAGTTAACAACATTAATGCATAGTGTAATATTGACTCTTTAATATGTTTTTATAGTTAACAAGTACAGGGATGGTCCATGCACATCACACATATCCTGAAATACAGCAACCGCAAGGCCAGCCCATGAACCCTGACCTCTCTGGACAAAGCAGTCCTCCTAAACAGGTAACAAGTTTAGTGTGTTTTAATGGGAAAACCTACTTCTATGACATTTTCCAGCATAATAAATAATTTCAATTATGTGTAAACAGAGTGTACAGACTGGCACTTCAGGAGGATGGTTCAGCGGCTGGTTTAAGTCAACACCCAAAGACAATCAACCGGAGACCTCACAACCCGCCAGCCCACCTCAAACAGTAAAACAAGATTCATATTTCTTTCTGATTTTAGTTCTTCCCATAAACTTTGAACATGCACAGTTTTTACCAGACCAGTCAGAACCACACACTTTGACAAAACTTAATACTGGTGTGTGGGTCTGGAACGGTGTCCTGTTTCCTCGATTCTTGATGGCGTGATTGGCAGGTGGATTAACCAGTATAAACAAACGTGGTGGTTCAGGAGGAAAAAAGAAAAAAATAACACAGAGGATTGAGAAACATGGATATCTGCAGAATCCACCATCAAAGCACTGAAATTTTATGTAACAGAAGTTATACACTAACAGTCAAACATTTGGACACACTCATATATTCATGGAAACCAACAAATTATGTTTTATTTCCATGATTCTTCACATTGTAAACTATGACCGGACACATATGGAATGTAGCAAACATAAATTAAACTCAAAATAACTCTTAAAAATGGCAACTTTTGGCTTTGACCACTAGCATTTGTGGCATTTCTTGACACTGACATGGCACACCTGTGAAGTGAAAAATATTTCAGGAGACTTCATGAAGCTCATTGAGAGAAGGCTAAAGGATGGTAGCCTTGTCGAAAATAAAGCCAAGGTGGAAATACTGTGAGGATTTGAATATAAAATATAAAAAAAAAATATTTAGTTAAAGGGACAGTTCGGAATTTTGGATATTTCCTAGTTAGCCAAAGTGTTGGAGATGTGTGGAGACATTTTTTTAAATATTCCATTCAGTCCTTGTATTTGCAGAGGTCGCTGGTGCTTACCCACTGCACAAAACACCCAAAGCAAATCTGTTATTTTGGCAAACTATCAGTGTGAATGTCTGTGTCGATAGGATAATGTTTGAAATAAAACTAACCTTGCATTGCATGAATCGTCACATGTTGAGGGACTATTTTCTCATATATCAGTCCGCCACAGCCAAGCTTTCTATCAGGAACTCGCTGCTGCTGCTAAGACATAAATCCTTCAAATGCAAGGTTGGTTTTACTTCTAAAATTATTCTATCGACACAGACATTCACATCGACAGTCTGATGTAATAATAGATTTGCTTCAGGTGTTTTGTGGAGTGGGTAAGACTGTTTTTAGTGGCAGGATAACTATGGCCATTGACATGCGCTAGCCTAGCACCAGCGACCTCTGCAAATACAAGAACTGGATGAAATATTTAAAGTGTCTCCACACGTCTCCAACACTCTGGCTCACATGACAATGAGGCCCTATGTCCGAAATTCCTAACTGACCCTTTAAGTTACTTTTTTCTTTACGTAATTCCATGTGTATATGAAATGTAGAAAGTGGTAAAGCAAATATATACTGAAAAAGAAGCTGGGCCCAAGTTTCTTACTTGTGTATAGTTTGTTCTGAATGATACAAGCATAATCAGATTTTCAGACTTTTCAATTTTCTTCTACATTTAAGAGACACGTACTACAAATTTGCAGCTGTGGTTGGACCGGCCCAAGTTATGACAGAGGTTTTTCATGCTCTATGGTTCGATTCCAGACCCTTTTGGATCAGACAAGGACAGTTTACCAATCCACCCTCGAAGTACTCCCCACCCTGAACCAAGTAGCATAAGTGACACTGAACAAAGTATGCACCTGTTTGAACTGTGCTCTGTGCTCCTACAACCCTAATAAACATTTAACTATCTCCTTACAAAAGCTTTTAACTGCACATCTCAAAATATCTAGGGGGTTTGTAACCTGCTTGTTTCAATGGATCTGTCATTGCTCTGCCTGAAATGTTCCACAGTATGACATTAAACTCTATCTTACATTTATTCAATTACAGGTGATTATAGCTCAAAAATACCTAGAAAAACAGACATTCTGACGGTGACCGGGGCTGCCTCTCCACAAATCTGACCTGTAACTTGATCTGGTTTGGTCTGAAGATAGAAAGTTTCAATACTGTACTATGAAACATTCTAGATAAAGCAGTAGCATCTCCATGGAGAAAAGCATTTGATGGATCCTCCATCAGAAAAGTTACACAACGCACCTTTAAAATCATCATCTTTTTATTCCATCAGTTTTCTACTCCAGACGTCGGTGCACCTCCTCCTCCAGTAGCCATGTTCCCGCCACAGCCGTCCACGACAACAGGGATCAACCCATTTTCAAGGAAAGCCGGTGAGTAAAGCCGTGTTAATATTAAAATTATGTCCAGTATTCATTTGCTTTATGTCGGTGAAAGATTGTCAACATTGACCATTTGTTCTGGGAGACTTGGGGGGGTTAGCGGTCTCTCCTCTCTGGCTGTGTAGTGCCATTAACACGTTGCTGAGCTGGGGTCTGGTTTCATAAGAAGCATGGCAAGCACTTTACATTTCCTTCTAGTCGAAAGTCACACATTGCGGTTTTGACATGTGTGTAACTAATTTGTGGGTTTAAGCTGCTATTACTACATCTATTACAAACAACTCTATAAATACTGTATGTTTTGACAAAGGGACACACATGGTTTCACATTTCTTACTTAAATGCGCAATTTAAAAAACAAAAGAAAAAAAGAGACTTAGACTTAGGCAAACTTTATTGATCTGCAAGTGAAATTATTTGGACACAGTTGCTCACACATTACAATATATTATAATAACAATGAGCAAAAATATAAATGGTAATGACAAATTCGAAATACCGTATTTTCCGTACTATTAGGCGCTATGGATTATAAGGCGCACTGACATTAAATGGTCTATTTTCGAACTTTTTTCACAACTAAACTGCACCGGACTTTAAACTAAACACAACAGTTAGATGGGTCAGACTTTGTTTGGGGCGTTCATGGCGACTCTGGGCTTTGTTCAGTTGTGGCGTGTAGGGAGGGTGCTGTCTGGGACCGCTGGATAGTTGGTGTATTCGCAGTGACTCAGTTGTTCAGTTGTGTCTAGAAGTGACACATTGCACTCACTTTTTCAGTTCGTTCTTCCGTTCCGTTCCTCGTCGGCGTGGAGTGATGAGTGTGGCTGTGGGTGTTTTTTGGTGCGCGGTCGCTGTCTGCTCCGTGCCTGTTTGTGTGCGCTGCAGATGATGCGGCTTTTTAGTTTACTGAAGTCGTGCTGGGACACCCGAGTGGATTCGTGTATAGGGTGCTCTGGATTGTGGGGCGTGCAGTCGTTTTTTGATGGGGTTGGAGGCTTATGAGCGCGCCCTATGGTGCGGAAAATACGGTAAGTTGCAAAAATAGCAAAAGACTCGTGTCAAATAAAGTGTAATTATATAAATGTAATTAAGTACAAGTAAAAATAAAATATAGAAATATAGTAATACAATATATCTTTCAGATCGTAAGGAGAAAACTGCAAAGATGAACTAGTAATTGACATGACAGAAATGTATGGAGTATTATAAAAAAAAAAAAATATATAATATATATATATATATATATATATATATATATATATATATATATATTATATATATAATATAATAATTAAAATTGTGAAACTGGGCATTGCTTTCTAAACAATTCAATCCAAAATTTATTACAGAAATTGAAAATTATTTGTATATTTTACTCTTTAGTCTGATTTACTTAGAAATTTCATCACACAAATAGATATTAAAGGAGCATCATGTAACTTTTCTGGCCACCTGCTTGTCTCCATGGAGATGTTTCTGTTTTGCCCAGAATATTCCACAGTATGGCATCAGAGAACACATGTTTTTCAAGATATTTCTGAGCAATAAAAACATCCAAATGAACCAAATGGGCAAACCAATCAAATCTCCATGGAGACAAGTAAGAGCCAGAAAAGTTTTGCATTGCACCTTTAATATCACTAGCCCAATGAGTGATACAGTGTGTAATTCCAGTGGTGAGAATCAAACCATGACGCATGACCAAAGCCTAAACAGCCCCTTTAGTGGACCAGACCGGCAGTGCCTTGTACTATAAAAATAGCAGAGTAAAACAGGTTCAGTGGAAGAGTCCTTGGACCACAAGGTTAAACATTTGATCTTGACTTCTGCTCTCACTGTCCATATGATCTGGAACTAAGTCGTCCCCTAATACAGTTAAGTTGGGACCACCTGCTTCAGCCTTTCCCACAGCCTGAATATCCTTTGCACATCGTAAAACCACCTTATATCTGTCATCATTGCACGTTTATAAAGCTATTGAATGTACAAGGGATGATTTACATTTCAATTCAAAATTTCAAATCTCATTTACATAGATATTTATATATTCCACATTGTGCCAATCTATTATATTTTTGGAGCACGAGGACTGCAAAATAAGAGACATTTGCCTACCAAGATTGCTGGTTGCTACTTGATCCCTGCTACTAGTAATGTCCACTGCAGTTGTGTCCATGGGCAAGGTACTTTTTCAGCCTTCGGTGTCATGTGTGTGTCAGATGTTCTTTAGTTATTTACCCACCACCATATTTTATTCTATTCTATTCTATTTTATTTTATTCTATTTTTTTATTTGTAGTTTTTATTTAAATTTATTTGTATCATTATTATTATTATTTATTATATTAATTTTTTTATTATATATATTTTTTTATTTAAATATTTTTATCTATTTTATTTGTATTTAATTAATTATTATATATATATATATATATTTTTTTGGTTGAATTAAATTTTTTTCTAGATGGATTATTAATAAAGTGATTCTTCTTTCTAGGGCAACAGCTGGGCTAAAAGACCTCTCATCAAATTAGGTAAGGTTTATTTAAAAATACGTTAAACTACTACTTACTTAAAGTAATTGTATACATGTATAGTGAACAATCAATATGTTTTAATTTTCAGGACCATTATCATAGCATCTTATAATTAGCTTATCATTAGCACAACTACTATGTGGACTGCAGATTGAAACTTGTCACCAGCCATCGCTAACTGAAATGCCCTTCGTCTCACGCTCCCTGAAGCTCTGCATACACTAGACCAGAAGGCAGACCTGCTCCAGTTCTCCAGACCAACTCCTCAAAGTTGACCCTAGCTAAATGAATTGTACATACAGGTCATATCTTGAGATTTGAACAGCACAAACTGATGTAATAACATGACAACAAACTAGTATAACTGTTTCACTACTAGCAGATGATTTAGGTGGCCGCCATGTTGGAATTGGCACAACTTCATTAAGTTACAACCAGTTTCATATGAAGATACGTAGACTATTCATTTTATGCTGTCAAGAATATATTGGTGCACATAGAATTATTATTTTCTTAACCTGTAAAGGCCTACATGTTGATATGTTTATTAGTGTCTTCAAAGGTTACTATTAGAAATAAGCACTGGTACATAAAAATATCACATAGCTCAACTATGCAATGTTGAAACCGGGCCAAGACGAAGTAAGACGTGTTTGGTTGTATGCTAACATTGCTTCAAACATCAAGTGCCTTAAATGGTCTAACAACTTTTGTAATGGATATTCCTGCTTACTTTGGAACCTTCTCCATAGAGATAGATATATTTTATTCCATATGGTGAACTATTATAGCCAGAGGAGCAAAATTTCCATGGAAACAAGCAGGAGGAGGCCCTCCTCTAGGACAAATAACAATCAGGTTTGTGGAGATGCAAGCCCGCTCAGATGTTTTTCTCTGTCTTTCAATGCAAAAGTAACACCCTTTATGAAAAAACATACTTTTATTTTACTATGTTTTAGCCAAAGGTTCATACTATGGCTTCAAAGGCTTATAAAAATCAAGTTGAAGCAACTACCAAAGTCTATAACCCCTTTTTTACACTTCAAAACAATGGTGGAGATGAAAAGGTGTGAAAGTAAAATATAATTCATAAGACGTTAAAAAGCTTAATTCCATGTAAGGAATCGTGTCCTTATGTATCATATGACACTGACCTCTATACATTTGTATAGTAAAAACCACTGACTGTATTGATGACTTCAGAAGTTTCTGTTTTACTTATACCCAAAGAGGTATTTATTTGATAAATAAAGTACTAGTGTGTGTATCAGGTTCATGTGCAAGACCAAGAATAGAATGAAGTCTTAGAGCTATAATATGGTTGTATTAACTTGCATTTGCAGTTTTTCAATATAAACAATATAAATTGTATAATGTTTGGGACTGTGTAATATTATCAATGTTAAATGGTGTACATTTTATTACATTTCATTTTGTAATTGAAGAAGTTTTATTATTAATAAATTATTATACGTTTTCACAATTATTATTATTATTATTATTATTATTTATTTATTTTTAGAGAAAAAAACATTGCATATACCTAGTATTTAAGTATGTAGCATTACCCTTAAAATGTAGAGACAGCACTGGGAGACCACTGTCCTCTGAGCTAGGTTCAGGAGGAGCTATATAGACCATTACGATTGTGTTCATTGGATTTATGAAAGATTTTCTCGGTTAACAGTTTACACCCTTTAGGCACTTCTGCTATTCTAAATGCCTGTGGCTGGTCCAAGATCTGATGCAGCTTATCTCAAGGAAGACATATGGCCACACTTTGGCACGTGTCTGTCAAATAACAGGGTTTTCACAGACTTGCCTCTTAATGTAACGAGAGCGGCTCATAGCAGCAGGTGGAGGGTCTGATTTCCCTTCGTCTGCAGTCCAGCAAGAGAGAGAGCAAGAGGAGCGAAGGAGGGGTGAGGCAGAGAGGAGTGGTTTATAAGATCTGAGTCATGAATTATCCTCCTGACACTGCCAATAATCCGTCAGTTATTATTGGCATTGCATATTGTTTTATTTACTCAAGCAATACAGATGGGCTATTAGAAAACACTGAAGACATTTATTGCATTTTATATTTGATTTATTTATTCTATATATAAATGGATGGATGGCTATCAAATGGATGGGACTATATGTGATTCCAGTTTAAGATCTGAACATTCACATGAGGACACGTACACAAATATTTAGGCTACTACTATGATATGAGACAGTATACAAGCATGTCAGACTTGTATACTGACATGTATGTTGACATGGGAAATTAGCATCCATAGAGTGTTAACAGAAGTGGACTAAGGGAGTGTACCGTCACGCATAGACACTCTGCTCCAGTCAAATGAAGCTCACGGTACCAGTCAGCAGATAACAGCTATAGAAGTGAATTCTGAACAAAGCCCCATATTAGGAATAGAAATTTATTTACAGACAAAATATTGAAACAAAAGCACCAGGGTCATGTAGAGTGGGTTAGTGTGTTTTAAGACCAAAATGACAAGGCTCATGGCAGCAGTTAGAGAGAGCGGGACAACAGTTCTTCATTCAAAGTCAAAAAGCTCTATTCACACTTGCGTCACAAACCAGGAAGACGTTGGGAAAGATGCAAATAAAACTTCCCGACACTGGGCTCACTGACCGACTGTGATAAAACCCATTGAAGTAAATGTGATCAGAGGTAAAATGAAGACTGCACATGTATGTGCTGTTTGGAATCATCTTGAATTTGGCGCCCTTGTCTCTTCCAATCGCATGTACCCAGTGCGCTTGAAGTTGTGTGTCATTGGGGAAATGATGAAAACTGAGGTATGATTGTAATTGTTCATTAGCCAAACATAACAGAACGCTACAATGGCATTTAGATGAAGAAAAATGGGCCTGGGAAGTTGTAATTTCATCTTTCCAAACATCTTCCTGGTTTGTGACGTAAGTGTAAATAGAGCCTATTGGAACTTCCTAATTAACCCTGCATTCAATTATTCTTCTGAATCGGTTTCCCAAGGAAGTTGCCTAGTGACATGCGTGACATACCCCTTTTCCTGGGACAGCGCGACTCTGACCTCAGTGGCGGAAAAAGTAAACCCAGCAAGGATTCCGACTCAGAATTCAGGATGGCTACGCCTACTGTGATGTGTAAATATGAACTGTTTTCATTGTGTTTAGACACTTTGGTGGTTTAAATGACAATTTCAGTCACTCGTATTACTACAATACTTCACTGTGTCCATATCACTGCCTGTGGATGTGGTAGTCGGTGTTGTGTTGAGGCCAGTATTGAACAAATACTCGATTTAACGGGCATTAACGTCCCTAAGGTTGCTAAGGGGACATGAGAAACATAATATTACACTTCAAGCTCAGGCGTGACATCAAATCTGAGGTCCAAGTGGGAGTTGGAAGATAATCGGATACAGGGTAACCCGACTAGTGGGTTAGCTATGTCCTGGGTCTATTGCAGCATTGCAGCTATGAGGAATATGATAGTAACACATCTGAGCCCACTTAAGCACCAGTATGACCAGAAATTGTTTGGTGAAGTGCAACAAGGAAAAAAAAAAACTATAACAGTTTTACAGTACAATAATCAGTTTGGTCCAATTTTGTCACTGTGATTGAGCATGTGCTCTGCTAGCTTGTCTGCACACCTGAAGGACTTATCACACAGTACACAGACGAAGATCCTGCTGGGACAGTTCAGCTGTTGATGTTGTTCCAGATTAGCCAAAGAGCTAAAGTTCCTCATGCACCCGCCGCAACTGTGAATCTGTCCAATATTATGAACGTACTGATGCCGAACCAACCTGGAGGCCATCGCAAACGCCACCCCACACTCTCCACACTTATGAGGCCGAACCCCGCTGTGGATAGCTTCGTGCTCGGTCAGATTAGACGATTTCGTAAAACACTTCGCGCACACGGAGCATACATACGGACGCACTCCTTTGTGAATTTTTTGATGCTCGGCCATACGACTCTCCAATGCAAACTTCTTACCACAATCTGAACAAGAATACGGCCGTTCTCCAAGATGTTTCCTTTCATGTCTTTTCAACGACAAAGGTCTGTTGAAAGTTTTGTCACAATGTGAGCACTGAAAGGGTTTGTTGTTGGTATGCATGTTGCGTTCGTGTTTCCTCAAGTCGGAAGAACGGATGAAGTCTTTACCACACTCTTTGCATTCGTAAGGCTTCTCTCCTGTGTGTGTTCGGATGTGTTTGCGATAATCGGATGACCAGATATAGCTACGGTCACAAAACGGGCAGTGGTATGGCCGTTCTCCCGTATGTAGACGTTTGTGTTGCTGTAGGGTGCCTTGGTGTGAGTACGCCTTACCGCAGATATCGCACACATGAGGTTTAAGTCCAGAATGTGTCGTTAAATGACTTTGCAGGTAGCACAACTTCTTGAAGGCCCAGTGACAGTGTGGACACTTGTATGGACGCTGCTCTGAGTCGATTTCGCTGCGTTTTTTCATCGCTTCCAAAAGTCGGGAAATCTTTGCGTCGTCCATGCTGATGTTTTTCGACGAAACTTCCGCGCTGTTGTCTCCTTTTACATGAAGATCTTTGAGTTTAGACATGACCTCCTTGTCACGTTCGGCCATCTTTGTTTCTTCCTTGTTTTTTGCGTGTTCTTGACTGTTAATACAATCTTTTTCTGCATTTTCTGATGACGAATTATGAGCAGACTTTGCCTCTACACTGCTACTCTTATTTGTGGATTGTTTAGTTTGTGGGTTTGTACAGAAGTCTTTAACAGTAGCTTCTGGCGTAACCTGTTTGGGAGTCCTTGACATTGTGTGTTTATCATTGTCATTACGTCCAACCCAAATGTCCTTCTCTTCGGATGAGCTTGGAATATTGGAACAGTTTTTGTTAATCCCACTGTTTCTGTTTGTAGATCGTTCTTTCATGTGATGTTTTTTAATTTCATGTAGTCTCAGTTTTGACATGGCTTGCTGTTTGGAAGCCCTTTTCTTTGCCTTCCAGATTTTGTCAACATTGTTCATATTTTGAACCCAAGTTTCATCTGAAGAAGCTGATGACAAATCAGCAAGATCGTCCATACTATTTCCATTTTGTGTTTGTTGAATTAAACGTTTTTGGCCTTTATATTTTGACATCACTCGTTTAGAAGTCCTCACTTTTCCTGCTATTTTTAGTTCACCATTGTCCTTACTTTTCACCCAAATTCCTCCTTCTTCCTCAGACGAAATCTCAAGAGATCTTTCCGCGATGCCACAATTCCATTTCGGAGTTAGAGGATTCAAATAAAAATTCCAGACTCTACAGAACCATCCACACACGTTATTGAGTCTCGTTGACCATTCTGCTCTTGATCCATTGCCAAAAATGATGTGGTGACAAAATGCTGTTGAATTTTTCTTTTATAGTCCCTTTCTGCAGCTGTTTGGGGGTACCCTGTTTCAGCCATGGCTGCTTTGGGACTGTGGCATTCAGTGTATGCAGCTGCGCAAGCTCAACGCATGTCGGGAAATCCTATATATCCTTGGAAGACCTGCAAGTGAAAAAGCAAAACATCAGCATGAATGAATTATGCAATGCTAATTAATCGTATTTTATTTATTTATTTTTTGTTTGGTTGTTTGTTTTTTTATTGCAGGTGCACCGTGTAACTTTTTCGTAGGAGGTCCGTCATGTTTCTATGTCTTGTGTCTATGGATATGTCATTGCTCTGCCTGGAATGTTCCGCAGTATGACATTGAACAGCTCTACCTTACATCCATTCAATTAGAGGTGGTTTTATAGCTCAAAAATACCTCCAAAGGTCAGATCCTAAAACAGAATGCCTGTTTTAGGATCTGTCCTGTAACTTAGTCTGGTTTGGTCTCCATGAAGATAGAAAGGTTTAATACCATACTGTGAAACATTTCAGACAAAGCAATAACTTCTCCATGTGGAAAAGCATTTGACAAACCTTCCACCAAAGCACCTTTAAGTTAAATAACTTTTTGTGGAATGTGTCTTTTGCATGGCTTTTTACATATTTAAAAATGACATTAATGCTTGGTGTGTTTTTTCCTTGATTGCTCTGTTCTTTATTCCTTGAAGGTCCTATATTACGCTTTATTGATTCTTGTGAGCTTTTAGCCATGTTCGAATGTTGTTAACTCTTCAAAAACACATCTAGAGTTTTTAAAATTTCATTCACACATGCTTGAGTAACCCTTTATTATTAGCCCGTCTACATCTCCAAAGCTCAAAATTCTCCATTCCACAAATACCTTTTACCTTTAGTTGAGCCAAAATGAGAAATTCCAGAGCCGAAATTATCTAAATGATTCTAATGAAGGTGTATGGCATTTAAAAACACAGTGGAGCACTTTCTGTATGTAGGAAGTGTTTTCTGTTGGAGAGATGAACTCAGCCTAAATATGCAGGGTTTATGTGTTAAACACAACTCTAGGTATGTTCTGACGAGAAAACATTATAACATGGATCAGAAAATAATGTAATATGGATGCTTTAACCGTAGTCTTGGTTTTTATCCCATATAAGATGTTCAGTTTTGCAGTCCTTTGGCTATGTGGACTAGTATTCTGTTTATTTTAATAGCCTATTAAATTACTGTACTTCCTTACCATGTAAATATACGTAACTTTACCTAAATACACATTTTGAATACCTTCACTAATCATAAATCATCTTTCCAATCTGACTAATTAGGTATGATGCATTTCCAAGTTTCCATACACTTAATAAAACAGTTTACACCAATAGAACTGTATAATTTATAATCTTAGAATTAGAATACAACAAGGTACATATATTTATAATGTAACAAGTAAAGGAATTAAAAGTAAGCCAGAAAAAACATACCATTGAGTGTCCAGTCTAGCAGTCCATACGTAGCTGCCTTTTGACTCCAGCCTGGTGCATGTAGCAATAGAACTGTGGCAGGTGGAGAGCACAGGAGGAGGTGGCTGTGTAATTCTTTGGGTCAGGAGCAGAAACCTCCCTCGTCAGCAGAGCCCTGAAAGAGCAGCTCAGTTTACCTTATTTGACTTGTAGACCACAGTATGTTAAATGGTGATATGGGTCCAACAGGAGGGATTTAGACTCATTAAACTGTCCTCATCATGTCCAAATGCCCACATGAGAAGACAGAGGATAGTGCTATAGCAGATGTGATCTTGTTTATGGGGGTGTCTCATTACATAGGCCAACTGTGTTTTGACATGTATTCAGTTTAAAGGAATGGATGATATTTATGACGTTTGCTGTGTTTTGATCTGTGTTCTAATGTGTTTTGGTTGTTGTGTGTGTGTTTGGTATGTGGGTTGTAATGGGTATTTATTTTTTTCCCCAGTTCATTTTAGCACATTTTGGTTTGGTTTGGTTTAGTTTGATAATTTGATTTGAACATGTATCTGAACAGACTCACATATGCTCATATCATTTGGACTATTTGTCATAAGTTCAAACAATTCTCAGGCTCTTCCTTTGAACACTTGGCACAACTCTCACACAGAAAAAATAAAAAATTCAAACATGACAGCAAAAAGAAACCATTTGTGAGAGCCCAAAATCTATCAACAAAGGATTTGACATATGACTCAGAGTACAGAGACATCCTGCAGAAGCCTATAGATGCCATATATCCAGTGTACTCTTGGTGTAAATGTCTTGTTTAATGTTCTAAAACAAATACATATAGTATATAGTGTGGATGTATTTGCTATTCTGACATGTCTCAGTTGTCCTCATCAGGGGTATTTAGATAAAATTATGTAAAATCCAGTGTGCAAATTGGTAATGTGTAAATGTATGTCAGTTATAATTTTTACTAAAAAGTTTTGAATATATTGACCAAATAAAGAAAAAAAATTGTCAAAACTTCATCTGTGTAAAGTGTGACCCCCAATGGCAGATTGTATTAAACCAGTGATTCTCTGTGGAGTAGCACTGGTTAAACTCGCTTTAGGGAGATGATTGAACAGTTTTAAATGTAAAACAATTTTTTACTGAGCTGCATTTTTTTTTTAGCAAAACCATACCCCTTTTTGGAAGTGTGAGTTGTTTTGCAAATGTTGATGTTCAGTAGAGGACTGTGTCAAGATGACTGAAAAAACTGTAAACTACAATCTGTAATTAGACTGGATGGCCCAGCCCTGTTGTGTATCAGAATCAAAGTTTCCTATATTCATCATCCCCAGGGGAAATTCTTTGCTTTACAGACATGGAGCTGACCAGCAGAAGAAGAGTTTTCAAAAGTATCGCTCATCAGTAACGCATTCTTTATCAACCCAACCCCAGTGAAAATTAAATAAATGTATGCTTTAACCGAATTTATAAAAATATGGTACCCTCATAACATAGCCTCCTCACATCTTTATATTCAGTTTAACAACAAAGGTATGACAGATGTTTGCTAAAGGGAGTGTGCACTGAGGCTTCTGGTAAGTAAGTAAGACTTTATTTACAGAGCACCTTTCACAGATTAAAAAAATCACAAAGTGCTTTACAGAGTGCAATAAATAACATGCACAAGAAAAGAGGAATTACAAACACAGTCAACCAAAAGCTTGTCTAAATAGCAGTGTCTTTTTTTACAGCACAGAGAAGATCAGCAGGAGTGATTTCCTGTGTCTTTCAGTGGAGCAGATGTTGTCTATATAACTGCTATCTGACACTGTGTTTGTGCATGTTTGTATAAACTTCAGGTTGGTAGCTTTAAGCAAAGGCTTTGATATTTGAGGCTGCTGTAAAGCTGAAATAAATAGATCCATGTAGTGCGGGCTTCAGCGGATTTACTGATTTCTAAAATGTGCATGTTCTGGTTTCATAAGGAAATAGGTCTACTAAACATACTTGATACTGGAATACAATTTTTTCCTTTTAATCAAGAGATCTATTGGACCACATGTACATCATCACATGTACATGCAGTAGCCATTATCATATTATCAACATCATTATCATTGTGATAGTATCCTTGTATGGTGTATTTTTTTGTAGTTTATTTGGTCATTTTACAGCACTACAATACAAGAACAAAACATAGACTACAGCCCCATGGATCAGGACCAAAAGGGTTTAGGCTGAAGTAAAAACTACTTATAATGCCAAACCCTTTTAAAAAATGACAGAATTTCAAGAAAAAAGCAGCGCATGAACAGCAAGTTTTCATTTACAATTTCACTTACGACTTTCTGTATATATGAGACAAAATTAAAACAAACTAAATTTAATGCATAAGTCATTCATTCCAGACCTCTTTATCTTTCAAAACATAATGCTTTATATATATATATATATATATATATATATATATTATATATATATATGTATATATATATATATATATATATATATATATATATATATATATATATATATATATATATATATATATATATATATTAAAGGCTTTTTTTTCTTTCTTTCTTTCTTTTGTTTTTTTAAAAAAATCAGCACTCAGGTTGTTCCATATACTAAACCCTTGTCTTCTTTTTTTTTTTTTTTTTTTTTTTTTTCACTTTTTTAAAGATACTAGTTTTTGTTTAGTTTTTTTCATTTATAGTCATAACTAATAATAATGTTAATGAAGGCACAACAAAAGAAACCACAATGAGAATGAAAAATTTTAAGGA